TTATTCTAATCTACAGAACAACGTGTGATATCATAGCATGTAGCTGTAGTTTATATCAGTGTTTGTCACACTGGGTGTTGAAATTGAAGTTGAGTCCTGTGTGAAATTATCTCTTAAAAGATTTATGACTGTAATGTTAACAGTGATGACTTTAAATCTTATAGTGGTAAAATGAAGCTTTGGTTTTGGTTTTGATCAGTGATTTAGTTTTCCTTTACTGTCTGGTTCTGATTTTAAAATAAAACAATGTTAAGATAACTCTTTATTGTCGTTTCAGTCATATTTAGTACAATAGTACAATGACATTGGAAAATTGTCCCACGCCAGAAATAAACACAACACAGTAAACTTTAAAGTGGATAAAAGTGCAAAAAAGTATGACATAATAAATTCTAAAATGGATGTTTGTTGCACATTATTGCCCCCCAAAAGTCCAGGGAGGCAGTCATGCCAGCTGTTAGCACTGATTAGGGCTATTGCTAGGGCTGGGTATCGATTTCTATAACTGATTCAATTCAGATTCAGTGAGAAATATTATAATTCTGGTAATTTATCAGTACAGTCTATATTTTTATATCCATGTATAAACACAAAGCTGGCACTTGTGAGACTTCGGAGGTGTGAGCATCACAGCAGATGTCTTTGTGTCAAAGTAACTGAGGATAAAACACAGAAAGATGAAAAACAGAAGAAAACCATGAATCAGCATCTGAACGTTACCTGATGCTGCTGAAGATGAAGCTGAGCAAAGTTACAGAGGTTTGATTAGAGACACAGCTGAGCAATCATTTGTAAAAGTTTATATTTCTTTGTTATTGAACAGCAGAAATGAGGCTTTTTTGTCAGTGGTCATTGAAAAAAAACCACATCTGACAGCGCTGAACACAACGGTAGACTGGTGTGTAACAATCAAGCGAATACTGCAGAAAATAGAGGTTTTTGATGGTAACCTGGTCTCTGACACTGAGACAGCTGCACGGGTCCTTCAGGATGTCCAATGATTGAGCCATGTTAACGACCCTCTGAAGAGCCGTGGTGCAGCCAGAGAACCACACTTTGAATGTGAAGCTAAAGTAAGCTACGTTTATTTGCTTAATAAATTTAAAATTTTGTTTCTTAAAAAAAGTTAAAAATGAATTTAAACGGTGTAACTGTTTAAACAAAGCACGTTTGTCTTTTTATTAATTATCATTAGTTCTGTTTTTCCTGACTTTACTTTAACAGATGGATGGAAAAGAAATGAGGGACATTCATTTATTCATTATATCTGTAATCTGGTCTTTAAACTTTCAGGAAACAGTCGTACATCCAGGGTGGCGTCTTCAAACAGTTAAACTCAGTTTAAGTCATAAAAACTGAGTGTTTTGTATTTCATGTTTAAATGATCATCAGCTCAGACAGGAAGTTCTCATTACTGAGCTCAGTAACACGGAGCGTCAGGACGGAGGTTCGATGGCAGGAATGTTGTGGTGTTTCCTCTGTTGTTGTGAATTCTTCATCTGCGCTGAGTCGTCATCTCCAAAATATGGTGAAACTGGACACCGGCAACCGTAACCCCTTCAGTGCCGCTGTGCAGATGTTTCCCACGAGGAGAGAATCAGCTGGACCTGAACCTGGACCAGAGTCCCACCTGGACCGAGTCCAACACAGACATGAAGTTATTAAAAGATTCCAACATTTTACTGAAAAAGCACCCAGAGTGTGTTTCAGCGAATCTCCGTTCAGCTCTGATCCACATCCAGCAACAAAGATCATTTCAACATCCCAAACCTTCAGGTTCACATCGAGGCAACCACGGACACTACGGCAACATCCTCAGTTGGCCAACCTCTGCATGTAGCAACTTCTGCCCCAAAACCAAATATCTAAGCACAACATACACGACTACAGCAACACCTGTAACCAGCCTCAGCAACTACAGTGAGAACGCCTGCATATGCAACTGGACCAAATCACAGCAACCCCACCAACTTGCAACTAAGATGGCAAATATTCCAAAACTAAAAGCAACTAAAGCAAAACAAGCTTATGTAATTGGTGCAACTAAGTAACCATAGTAACAGTAGCTGCAACCTTAACCACACAAGGCAACCATTGACACAACAGTGTGCATCCGCAATTAAACACAGCACCTTCTGCAGCCAAGCTAACCGCAGCAACAAGATGGAG